CGCTCATCAGCGGGGGTACGCTTTCTTTAACCATCCTTTTCCGGCTGATATACCTGTAGAATCCCTTCTTATTATTCTTTGCATCCCTAGCCAAGTTTAGCTCCAGCTGCGCCTTGGCCTTCCTGACCCCATTCCTGCACAACCGGACCGCATCCCTGTACTCTTCCCAGGATGCCTGTCCCTGCTTCCACTGCCTGTGCAGTTCCCTCTTCCCCCTTAGTTTGACTAGCATCTCTTGTCTCAACCACGCCGGTCTCTTCCCTTCTTTGCCCGATTTCTTACACCTAGGGATCGAGAGCTCTTGCACTCTGTGGATCACATCCTTAAAGATCTGCCAGCTCTGTTCTGTTCCCCTGTCCCTGAGGACCGTTTCCCAGGGAGTCCTTCTGACTGTCTCCTTGAGGAGCTGGAAGTTTGCTTTTCTAAAATTCAGGGTCCTGACTGTACTCTTTGTTCTTCCCATTTCCCTCAGGAGCGTGAGCTCTACCAGCAGGTCTTACAGACTCCTTTTAGTGGCAAGGGCCTTTATTTTCTCAACTCCATAGTCTCTTCAAGAATTCAGTGTTTGAATTAACTCTAGCAATACTGTTGCCTTAAACTACATCTCAGATTTATGCAAGAAAGAATATCGTAAATTCCAGTTGTGTCTGGAGTCAATAGCTTCATTAACTTACGAAGCATGGATCTGCTCCAGCAGAGGGGTAAGCCAAGATGATGAGGATGTATTTTGCATTTGAATCAGTCCTGTGCCCAAGGGAAAGGAGAGAAATAGCTGCAGTTCTGATACTAAAAGTACCCGAAGTAAGTTAGTTTTCTTCACGGGAAGCATTTAGTTGCCTGCCAGAATTTGAAGCTGCAGTGCGATGTTTCACAGTAAGCACAGGGCTGACAAACGCTGCTCTGAGCTGAGTTACCTTTGTGGGATGTGGGGGAAGGGAAGTGGTGACAAGGCTCTACTCCCTTTTCGTCACAGCGGTGCAAGTGGGGTTAAGTCTTTTCTTACCTTCCTGTTTCTCATGCCAGAATATGGGTTATCTAGTTCTTGAGCTAGCTCTTGGCTAACCCTGCAAGAGTGCTGTGAGATGCCATCTGCAGCTCCTGTGCTCAGCAGCACGGCTGCCACTCCGCTGACTGCCGCCTTTGAGAGAGACTCAAGGAAGCCACACAGAATTCTTGGTTTACCGATGTGCAGGTGTGGATTCTGCAGGGCTGGGCTTCCTTACTAACTGACATGTTTCTGTTTCTTGGTTTTAAGGGGGTTTTGTCCTTCCTTCCCCTCCCCTTCCGTTACACCATGCTGGTATGCAGGTGTCGTCTTTCCTTCACAAATGGAAGAAAGAGCATGGATAAGAGGGCCCACATCACTGTGGGGCCTCTATTCCCCCTTTTTTGAGGGTGAGAAATGCAAGGGATTTAAAATACAGCAAAGCAGCAGAAGTAATGCTATCTTGCAGTACTGTTTTCCTTGTGACAGTTTTCTTTGCTACTCTCTCCTTTAATTTCTTCAAATCGATGTGTGCACTGTGGATTTACATGTACTTGGGAAAATAACGAAATAAGGTGTGGGGTTTTTTTCAGCATTCCCTAAAAGGCCCTCCTCACCCTCTTTAGAAATGGTTTTTGCCTTTGTGCACTATATGAGTCATTGCAAACCCACAGTTTGAATATTAAATTATGAAGAGCAACTTTGCTTCTTGGGAAATGTGAGATCTTTGTAGAACTTTATAGGATTGTAGACTTTCGTAACCCTTGTTTCTGCTGAGAGGGCATTTTGATTTGACTTCACATTTGTTCTGAGGCACTGGGGGAATCGGCTCTCTTTCAGCTCACTTACTTTTGCTCAAAATTAGCCGCAATTTTATAAGAGTTTCTGTATATATAAAAACTATATGAGAGATTGAGTGGTATTTCTGGTTAAAGCAAGTTGCCACAGACTTCTGGTGTGACTTTGGACAAATCACATAACCTTTTGGTTCATCTTCCCTCGTCTTTTTTCCATAGCAGAAACTTCTACGTTATGCATGTGTCTGTTCAGCATCTCAGGTTTTAATGATAACTTTACAGTATTAAAATAAATGGATTTATGCTGTACATTAATAAACTTTTGTCTTCTGTTTGCCTGATGTTATTTGATCTTTTCTTATAAGTCTTCTATGGATTGTGTACTAATGCTGCTTTTGGTTACACTGTATGTTTGAATTTGTGTTGAACTGGAATTCTGCTTTGGGACAAGAAGTACATCATGCTTCTGATTTCTAATAATGAACTGAGCTAGAAGAAAAAACACATAATAAGATGGTGCCTGTAACTTCTCTTGCTATAGAAGCAGAGGGTATCAAGCTCAGTATGCATGTGTTGTGCTCCCCTGTTCCCCTTGTAATCTTCCACTGAAGCACTTCGTGCTTCCCGCACGTTGGCTTGCATGACTGTTTTGGAGTACTTTGTTGATATCCTTTGCGCATTCTGATAAATGTTTTTCTTGCAGTTATCGCTGTGATGATTTTGTAGTCAATGATACCAAGCTGGGCCTGGTACAGAAGGTCAGAGAGCACCTACAGAACTTGGAAAAGTAAGTAGTTTGTTTACATACAGACTGCTTTGGGTGGTCTTGTAATATTGCATCATTTAACTGGTATTTCTGGTTTGTGTATATCTATGTATTTAATATATATGTTTTGATTTAATCTGTATATTTTGATCTTTCTTTGGTCCCACATCCTTTGGCATGATACTGTATATGTTTAAATATCCTTTTCATCACTGAGAAGCAGAGGTGCAGAACAAATGGATTTGGCTGATCTTGTATGTTTTGTTTCTTATACAGTGAATCTTGTGACACAGGAATTTAGATATTGATTAACTTTATTGCTACGTAGCCAATAATTACTCTTTTTCCATATAAATGGGAGAGAATTTCCAGAACAGAATCATAGTTTTGTCAAAACCAGAATAAGTTTCTGGAGCAGAGAAATTGAAGGGAAAATGCAGGTGGAAGTAGGCTTTATGTGAATTGCATAGTTTGGTTTCCAAACAAAAAGGTTAAGAAAGCTTATGAACTTGGTATTGTACAGAAGAGACGTGTTTTTCCTCTGCTTTTATCTGGTGCTATTCCACTGAAAAGTAGATATTACAGTCTTTGTGATGCAGATCTGTGGCCAGTGCTAGATAGCAAATAGTCTGTTCACAGTTTGCTTGGAAATCTTGTATAATACTAAGTAGAAGTATGTGTGCGTACAGTGCTTCCAAATATATTTGCATGTCCCAGAGTTCAACTAGGACCCCTGCTAAGAAATTGCTGTGATTTTTGGGAAGTCCTTGGATCCTCCTAAGTTAAGTGTGTCACTAACTCTGTTGGTAATATTAACATTTTCATTATTTTCCATTCTCTTTTTGATGGGCTTCTCTCAGGTTAGTGTTTTGGAAATGTCCAGGAGATCTAGCTCTTTGGGAGGTAGATGATACTGTGGAGGCTTCTGTTCTGTGTAATGACAGTTTTTGAATGTTTGGAGAGTTTCT